AGAGACAGAGACAGAGAGAGGCAGAGACAGAACTTGTTAGACAAACTATTAGAAGATGTAGTAATTATACCCATTTAAGTGCTAGATGGATTTAAGTAGGCAGAGATGGTTTGAAAAATATTTACAGAGGAGGAGCTCATTAACTTGATATTCGAAGAGTAGATATAATTTTAAAATTATTCTTCAGAAAGGAACAGTAGGTTAAACAAGGAGATGGATAAGGTGTCATTAAAGGCATGATCTTCAAACTGAAAGGGCAGAATAGATTCTTTGTTTAAATATTTTTCTTCATATCTGTATTTTAAATCTCTAGCTTTCTCATATGAAGTAGTAAAATTTGCTGCCCGGAAGTAGAAGCATCAAGTGACACTGCTTCTGTAGTGTGAATGCAGCAGTGTACGTCAGAAAGTAGACACCAAACAAACGCTGGCTTCCCCTAGTCCACACCTTCCTTCAGGGAAAATATTCACGTTTATATAGAACACACAGAGAACCTGCGTTACTGTGCACGCCGTGCTGACGTGCGATGATGCGGGTGTCGGTCTCTTCCTCGTATTGCAGAAGGGTAGACGTGATGGAAAGAGCATCAGCACATAAACTTGATAAGTGTTCAGCTGAATTGGCTGTACCTATTACCAGTGCTGTGCCACTGAGGCAGCCAGGATTTCACAAGAGGACTCTGGCAGCTGTATGCAGAGAACCCAGCCCAGCATGAGACTGTGGTGGGGTGACAGGGCTCCTCAGGCTCCGCAGGCACAGGTCACCACAGCAGAGTGGCCTCTGACCTAAACTACATAAGTGATTGCAGCATGCTACGTAGGCCCTCAGAGACTGCATCATTTTATTTTCATAATTCTATCGCTGATAGTAAAATGCATATTGCCTTATAGAGAAAATGATCTTTTACTTCAGGTTTTCTGTTCTGCTGGATTGGGAGAAACTTGATGTGTGTGGCTGTGTCCATGGATCGTTAAAATAAAAGAAAGTGTTGTGATTTAAGTTGAATTTTTAATCAAAGGGAAATGGAATTTAGATTCAGCAGATTATTTAAATTCCCATTTAAGCAGCATTGGATTCACTGGATATGTTAAAGTGCAAAACCTACTATGGATCAGATAAAACTAAGCAAAATAAATTATTGTTAAAGCAATTTTTACCTAAGTATAAATTGCCCAAGGGCTCTCAAAGTTCTCAAGCTTCAGAAAACTGTTTTTTTTTGTTTGTTTGTTTGTTTGCTTATTTTCTTTTCTAAATTTTGTGTTGTCTATGTAAGACATTTTAGAAGCTTCCTTTTGGAAACTGACATCAATATCAGCATAAGAAACAAAACACATCTTTATCTAAATGAGTACATTCCATTTTGTTAAAAAAAAAAGAATTCAAGACTAACAACTTTGGCCAAACAAGGGGCCAACTCTTGCTGATAATCTCAGTGCCTGCTGAGGCTGTCTCAGGAGGGCCCTAAGAAACTTAGACCTCAGCCTGGGCAACTTATAGACTTGTTGACTTTGTATGAAAATGAAAAATAAAAGAACTACAGACATCCAATTTCTATAGCTTATACAGCTATTTTTATGCTATTGGCCTAAAGCTACAAGGGTGGTTTCATGCTCAGTACATTTTCAAGTAACTTTGTAGTAGAGAAATGGTTTTGTGCACATTCGTAGAAATATGTATGTATAGAAGGGAAGGAATGGTTATTTTTCTACAAAGTAACTTATGATTTCTAATTTTCTAATATGGCTTGGATATGTGCCAAACAATGGAAAAGAAATAGTAAACTATGGAAGAAAAAAAAAAAAAAACAGTATGGAGAAAAAAACAATTGTCTTCTGTTGATACTCATAAGTTTCTAATAGTCCTGTAACATGCCATGTTGTCCACATGCAATGGCTCTATTTATTTGCTTTTGTCCACTTTGAGATGTTGTAGATAGCTGAGTTTGGTAAAAACATTATAGGCAGTCAGACAGGGCTAGGTCCTCAAAGGACCTAAAATGGAAAACAAGATACCTTGCAACTGTGTGAGAGACAGACAGCTCCCTGTGGGCCAGACCTGGAGACAAAAAATTAAATGAATACACTTAATACTTCCTTGGAGATGGACATCAGGGATTGATATTCTAAATAGATATCAATTACCTTGAAAAAGCCAGGAAGAGTCACTAACCCAACCTCCTACAGGAAATGTCCCTGCTTGCTATTCATGCCCACTTGCTGTGTGACTTGCGTCCCCATTTGATCCTGACTTAATCAATTATACCTGAGCAATTGTGCTTGTAATCTTATTGGTTGATCATAGTTTTGTCCCACCTCATATGCAAGTTCTCATGTTTTCTGGCTTAGATTCACTTCATCTCTTGGTTTTGCTCCATAAGAATTACTAAGAAGGGCAGCTTCCTTGGCAACCCACTTGGGACCCCTTCTGTCATTCACAGAAGCTTTTCCTCCAATAGATAAATTCTGCTTTTAGCCTCCACTGTTCCTCAAATTCATTTTTCAGTTTTAGAAAACATGAACTCTTCCCAAGTATCTTTCAGGATGGGAGTTTCATTCCCCTATATCAAAGATCTATAATATTAACTAAGACCAACTTAATTTTCTTAAATTTAAAGATAGTTCTTACTAAACCAAGTTTCAACTTGATTCTGTTTATCTATTTATGAGTAAAATGGGCACAGGTTTTTCTGAATAATGGCATCAGATGGGAAGTCCATTTTGGCTAAAATTCTGTAATGAAATGAAACTCTGAACTTTTTACACTACAGGATTTAAACACTTTCTGCTACAGAGGATACAAAAATTCTCACTTCCTTTTGTAACACTTTTGCTTATGAGAATAATTTCTAAAAAATTTAGAATTTCTCTCCAACTTGTTCAAGGAAGCAAATTACCTTTAAGGATAATTTCAAGATAGGAAGTTTTAGAAAGTTAGAACAAATTTGGATATTAGTAGAGTAAGGTCCCAGTCTTCCAAAGTGTCTGTTTTGATTAGCTAGTGCAGGCAGAGGTACTATTAAAATCTAGGCACTCTGGTTTATAGATGGAAATAATCAATGGAAGGCTTTGCAGGAAGCAGCAGTTTTATGAGACATGGGGGTTCTTTAATGAAGAGTTCTGATGCAGCCTCATACAACAAGGAGGAAGAGTCTTTACACACAGCCACAACTCTAGGGATATATAAAAGGCTGAGCCAGGCAAGGGTCAGAACAAAATTCCAGACACACACTTCTTTCCCTCACCTACAGCCTGCTCTCCAAACCTCACTATGTCTTGCCGCAACTCCTGCTCTGGAAACTGCAACTCAGTATCTCCCAGAAATTCCTGCCATGTCCCTCTCAACCCTGCTTTTGCCCTCTGCTCCACCAACGTAAACTGCGGGGATGTCCTGTACTTCCCCAGTAGCTGTCAAGATAGCACCTGGCTCACCAACTACTGCCAAGGGTCTTGTGAGGAATCATCCAGCTGCCAGCCCAACACGTGTGGCCCCAGCCATGGTGGGACAACCTGCTGCTCTTCCACTGGCCACTATGTGACCAGTCCGTGTCACGGAGGCAATTTTCTTCCCACCTCATCTTTTGTCTCCAGCTCCAGCATCCCGGTGTCCTACAGACCTCTGAGCTACGTGTCCAGCGGTTGTCGTCCACTGAGTCCACTGGTCAATACTTTCCAGCCTGCAGGCTGTGTGTCCAGTTGCTACAGGCCATTACCCTGTTTTTCCAACCCTGGAAGACCCATCAGTGTCCTGCCCTATGGATGTCAACCTTCCACCTCTTTGGTCTACAGACCTCAAACCGTTCATGTTGTGCCCAGCAGCGTCCGGCCACTGCAGCCTCTCTCCAGTGGCTGCCGGCCTCTGACCCATGTGGTCAGCCCCTGCCACACATCCTGCTCTGTACAGGGAGGCCAGTAGCTTCTTCATCTAGTGCATACTTATGGTGAAGATCCGGAGGGGATCTTCAAGCTCCATGGATTTTCGCTTCTTTCCCAGTAATGACTACTTTTTCTTGTTTTCTCTGTACCTGATCTAAATCAAGATGCTCTTTGTGCCTTTAATCTGGCTTTCATCTTTCAATGATATAAAAATTTGGTTGACAAAGCTATCAATATTGCTTGGCTGTGGGAAGAAAGTACTTGATTCATGGTATAAATAAATGAAATTGAGTTAAAAATTTGATTGAGATTTTTGTCATTACTTTCTTGTAACAGAGAAATAATCTAAACTGCTTGCAGAATTATTATGTAGAATAGGTGATACTAACCAAATATCCTTATCTGACATGAGATAGCTTGATGGTTTTGACACATAGAGATGCTGGTCAGATGTACACAAGAAATCCCAGAAGTCCTTGGCGGAAGTTATGGTGAAAAGATAAAATTACCCAGGATCTGACTTTACCTATTTCTTTGGGAACACATTCCCACAAGACTGTTCTAATTAGAAACTTACCCATAAGCTTCTGCTTTGGCTCCATGGCTCCTATGGCTATTCACATAAGATAAATAAACCAACACCTTGTTAGCATGATATCTGTTTTCCTTCATTTTTTATTGCCCCCCCCCCCAGTCTGGCTTTTGGCTCTTCTGCTCAATGCTGTGTACACGTAAAACCCGAGTAGTCCTGTTTCACCTGTAGGTTCCCACACATATGCCTTTCACAGCCACACATCCGAGCATCCTCTTGCATAAATACTTAAGACTTGATTGCCTTTCTGCCCCATCTGCTTGAAAACCTGCACTAACTTTTAAAACACAGTTCAAGTTATGAAATTACTGACCTCTTCATCAAAAAATTCTTACTTGCTTATGATGTTCAGAAGGAGTATATTCTAAGTGCAAGACACAGAAGTCAATAAGATAGACATAAAGTATTAGTTTCTACTGAAAGTCATGTACCATGGGGCAAATCTCAATTAAAATTCAAGAACAGGAGAAACTATATAGGGGTCAGAAGTAAGAAGAATGGCTACATCTTAGGGGTAGTGACTGGGATATAGATTAATGTCTATGTTATGTTCCAACCATCTCATTTTAAAATGATGTTGAAATAGTTTAACTAGATCAACAATAAGTATATATTAACAAAGGCAGGCTTTGTTAAGTTGTGATTTATTCTTTCAGGTGGGGAGAAGTAGAGGGAATGACAAAGGCTTAAAAATAATAAGATGGAGGTGTCATCAGTTGAAAACATCCAGACAATCAGACAAATAAGACACACACACAAAAGAAAAAAGAAAAAAAAAACAAGTGAGATTTTAAATCAGCAGCATAAGCATGATAGTAAGAACTTGTTTTTTCTACTTCAGTGCCAAGGGAGCTTACAGGCAAGATTAATGCTGACAACCAGTACCTTATATCTGGCACAGCAGGAAGGGCTGTTGATTCCTTCTTAGTGACCATTATTTTCTTTGCATTCTTTCAGGGCTTCTAGACATTCCAATTTCCCAAAAAGATAAATATTAATATCTATAGAGTAGAATGCTATTTTTTTAGTGTATAATGTTATTTTAGTTTGTGAAGCATATTGCCCTGACCTTGTTAAGTTAGTGGAACATGCATATTTAAAAGAAAATTATAAAATGAAAGTCTCTACCTAAAGTATCTAGATCTGAGATGTTATGCTAAATGTTACCCCTGCAAGGGTCTCCTTCTCATTATGGACACCAGAGGTCTCTTTCCATGACTTTCCTTGAGCAGAAGCTACTGCAGCTTTCACCTGGAGGAGCGCAGACACAATCTGGAGAGAATTCTGCAGTTCTGGGGGACTGCATGCCTCACACTTCATGGGTTTCACTTCTACGTATCCCACCAGTGTTTTCCTGAGAGAGAGCTGAGTTTCTCTTTTCCTCTTGGCTCTCCCAGAAAAAAGGGAAGAGTAGGGAGACAAGCCCAGAACCTCCTCCATGACGCATCCCACTCTCTAGAAGTCTCCAAGAGACTTCTCTGAATCTTATCAGGCTGAGGCATGAACATTTCTCCCTCTCCAGCCCACTCAAGCTCTTCTGGCATGGCTAACTGGTGGAGAGTAAGATTAAGAAGCATGCGAAAGGTCATGGTTCAGAGACACAGTCCAATTAAATGTCTGCAACTTAATTACAAGCTTAGAGAATGCTTCCCTTTGGTTCTACCTTCCCAGCACCCTGACCCAGCTGTAGCATAATAGCAGTGGATTACAGTTGAAAGAGCTAAATTATTCAGGCCCTTCCTGAGTACCAAGAAAGCCAAAAGGCCCGTAGACAACCAGAATCAAGGATACTAGACAAATAGGAAGCTCTTGCCACCACCAACTACAGAATGTATCAAACTCAGCCCTGCTGCTTGCTAGATTAACTTAAAATTCACAGCGAAGGTATTTTGATCTCAATTTCTACTACTTGAGGATAGCATGTCCAACTTAACCCAACAAAACAAACTAAATATATAAATACATAAAAATTAATAAAAAATAAAATGCATATCAAAGAACTATAAAACAACGATCTCCTGGGACAACACATCAAAATCACACCCAGACGTAGATGATATATAGATATTAAAATGATCAGGCCAGGAATTTAAAATGGCTGCTGCATATGTTCAGGATTCTAATAGAAAAAAAAAGATTACCTATAAAAACAAAAGGGCAATGTAAGCGAAAACAGAAATTTAAAGAAAGAATTTTCAAAATGCTACAAATTGGAAACAGTGAACAAGAAATGAAGGATTCTTTTGATGGTTTCATTAGCAGGTGAGACATGGCCGTAGAAAGTATCAGTGAGTTTGAAGCTAGGTCAATAAAAATTTCTAAAACTGAAATGCCAAGAGAAATAAAGAATAACAGTAAAACAAAATAGTCAAGAACTGTGAGACAATTTTAAAAAGCACAACATATTCTTCAGTGAAATACTGAAAAAGAAATGAAAATAAATTAAAGCTAAAGCAAAATTATGACCAAGAACTTTCAACTTATAATGGGAAACACCAACTTAGAGAATTGGAATCCAGGAGACAAGATTTTAAAAAAATAACCACAGCAAAACATTATACTTGGGTATATCACATTCAAATTGCCATTAAGCAAAGAGAAATTCTGAAAAACTGGGAAGGGGAGTGTATCTTTTGTGTCAACTTAGGATAAGAAGCACAATTAGCTCCCTGCTAGAAATCACGCCAGCAAGAAGTGTGTTGAGGGAAATGCAAACAAACCTGGGCAGGGGCTCTGTAGCCAATGCTCCAAGCATCATTCGGATCTTAAAATCAGGCATGAGTTTCTCTTGTTGGTTTGCTTCTCTATACTATGTTCACTAAAATGGCCAGGGTAATCTATTAAACCTATATACTGTTTCAGATTCATAATCATTGTTTGACTACATCATTTTTGTTTTGTTTTTTGAAACAAAAATCTTGCTATGTAGTTCAGGATGGACTGGAAGTCACTAATTAAGGCTGGCTTTGAACTTGTTTCTGATCCTCCTGCATCAGTCTCCCAAATGCTGGGATTACAGGATTGTCCCACAACACCCAGCTGGGCTGTATCATTTGATAGGCCCATTTGTATCCTTTGGAATTACTTAAATTTGCAAAAGTGCTCAATCAATAAAGACTTTCTATTGTATGCCAAATCCTCTCCTGGTGCTGGATAATAGTCAGAGGAAGAGAAAGAAAATTAGTAATAAATACTGGTATAGAAGGAAGACCATCTAAGAGAGCAAAAAGCAATGTAAAAGTGATACACATAGTACTATATATGGGGGAAATCATCATTTTTAGCAAGACTAAAAGTATTTTGTCCTTTGAAAATGTTACTAAAGTTGTGCCTACGAAGAGGCAAAGGAAGCCTCAGAATCCAGGAGACAAAATTAAAAAATATAACAACAAAATATTATAGTTGGGTATATCATATTCAAACTATCATTAAGCAAAGAGAAATTCTGAACTGAAAAAGAAACAAAAAGAAATTAAAACTAAAATATAATTGAAGCAAAATTATGACCAAGAACTTCCAAATTATAATGGGAAATAACAAGTTAGAGAATCAGAATCCAGGAGACAAGATTAAAAAATATAACAACAAAACATTCTACTTGGATATATCACATTCACCCAGTGATCTACTGGGTGAGCAAGGTTTAGGGCGGGAACTTGAGGAGGCTGCAGGAGGAAGGAGGTCTGCATAGCTGGAGGACAGAGAGAGAGAAGAGAGCAGAGGATCTGTCTGTGCATCAGGGATGCTTCAGCTATGTGCCAGGAACAGGGCTGCTCCCATCGGGTACAACTAAAATGTATTTAGCAGGCATTGGTTGTTTCCTAAAAACTAGAGTAAACTCAGCCAGCTAGCCTCTAATTACAGATGAATACTTCTCTGAGACTGGCTATATAAATCACCACAACTTGCCAAGACAGTAAGCCTCAAATCTGTCCATGTGACACAAAATAGATGCTTTCTATCAGGAAACAATCTTGGAGAAGACCATGCAAATATAATTTTGAGGCCTTCTTAATCAACCATTCATTGATGTTTTATTGAGGGCACTCTAGGCTCTGACCTAAGATTTAGTATAGAAAATGTCTCCAAGCCGGAGGAATATGAGAGGTGGCTAATCCCTCTTGCTTTTTCTCCTTGTCAGTAGTTAAGCAGGGATAAAATAAAGAAGAGTAGAGTGAGACCTTCAGACATATCCTCTGACATATCAGAAAATGTAGTGCACACAATATTTCAACCAACAGAAGTAAGAACAAGTTTTAGATCACAAAGGTGACATGGCCAACTAAGGAAACACAAGACTTCTTCGAATTTTGACTGTGATGTCTACTAAATTTCAGCACAAAGCTAATCAAGCACTACTTGCCAAACATGTTTCTCACTGCTTGATGGTCATCAAGTCACTAGAGTATAGTTTGGGAAGTCAGAGGAAGCAGCACAAGAAATGCGAC